GCGCCCGTCTGAGATGAAGAAGGCGTCCATGGAGTAGCTGTCGGTGACGGCCGCCTCCCCGCGAAAGTAGCGCGCCGACAGGCTGGACTGCGGGCTCTCGGGGTCGCTGTACTCCTCCGGCGCCGCCGGCGGGTATGCGGGCTCGGCCGGCGCCAGCTCCAGGCCTGGCTTTTGGTCCGCATCGTAGCTGCTGGGGGGCAGGCAGTGCGGGCTGTAACCTGGAGGGGCGAGACGGGAGCAGGGCGGACGGTGAGACGCCCAGGGGCGCGTGGCGCGTCGGGGCAGGTCGCCCGTCGGCCCTCCGGACCCTGCTGTCCCAGGGGCCGCTCTCGGAACACTGGCGTCGCGGTCACACACCTCCGCTTGTTATCCGGCTGCCGGGGTTCAAATCCTTCCTTCATGGGGCACAATAAAAGTGTCTTCCACTTGTCCCGCCTGGAGCACGGTGCTGTTAGCTGTGTGTTCACACCCACACAACGAAGCTACTACTGTGACACCCACTTTGCAGATAGGGAAACCGAGGCATGCAGCGTCAGAGCTCACGGCTTGTGAGGGATGGAGCTAAAATACAAGTCTTGGCAGACTACTGTCCTCACTCGGTATCTCAACGATATTCAACCACATCAGTCATGTGATTGATCGGAATCTCGGCTTCCTTGTCTACAAAATGGAACTTAAAATTGGACACTCATCCTCTAGGTCTGCGGAAGAACTGAGTAAAGTGATGAACAAAAGAAAAAACAAAACAAAAACAAAAACAAAAAACAAGTATTAATCCCTTACTGTGCTGGGGGCTTTATACAGTTAGCTCATGTAACACAGATCTCAGCAAGTAGGTTCTATTATAACCTGCACTTAAGGTGTAAGGAAATTACACAGAGAGGGAGCACACAGAATTGCTACATAAGCGTTCGCTGTCATCATCATGCTTTTTACTGGAAAAATTGACTTCTCTGAAGATTATTTAATTGTCTGCCTCCCCCACTGGACATAGTGTTTCTCAGGCCTGGATCTGTGTGGTCAGCATGTGCCTGGCTCAGAGGCTGTGCATGATGAATGGATGTTGCATTAAGCCAGCCGCAACCTGGCTAGATCCACCTCGCTGTGTTGCCAGAAGATTTCAAAGAGGTCAAGTGTGTGGTGTATAATAGGTGCTCCAGAAAAGGAACTTCTGTATTTGCTTTCAAGCCTGCTTGCTCCCCACTCCACTACAGGCCTTCTGGAGTCTCCAGGTAAGAATTCCTCTCCTCCGCCCTCCTCTAGAGTTGGACTGTTCCTCTTAGGCTTGAGTGATTGGTAGCTCTCCCTGGGGACGCCACAGGGACTACCCAAGAGCAGGAGCCACCCAATTTATCTCTGCTAGTACCTTCCCTAGGGGCCTTGGGTCGTGGGTTCCCAGTGACAGACTTACACCCGCTGGCACTCAGTTACCAAGTATTTCCACCGTCCTTTGATTTCAGGAAACTTTCTAAAATTTCACAACTGGGACATGGCAAAACTGGACATTTGATCTGTTTCCTTATGACCCCTAAGACCTGCATCCCCTGCCCACCCCACTTCCTCCATTCAAGTGAGCAGGTGAAAGAGCTTTGTAGACAGAGACCCAGATTGGAGACTGAGCTCTCTGGTGAGCGCCCCTCAAACAGCATTTACCACTCATCTGGCACTGGGGACGGCCACAGGGTTAAGGCCCCCCGCAGACAACCCCTCGTGAAGGGAAGGGTGTGTCCTTAGTTTTCCCTCCATCCCTTCAGCTGCCCACACAGGGCCCTCTGTACCCTGAAGTGGTTGGAGACTGTGGGGGCGGATTACTCAGTAGGGAGGGCGCTGTGGTCAAAGGCAGAGGGTGAGTGGTAGGGATAGTATTGTAATGAGGGGGAGCTTTCACAGACTCTCAGCACCCCTTCCCTCCTGTCTGCCTTTGGGCTAGCGTTACCGCCACCTCCCACTCGGTTCAGGCCTGATACTCAGGCCCCAAAATATTCAGGGATCATTGCTCACTCAGACTGAGTTAAACACCCCTGTACTTTCAGACCCCTCCTCCAGCATTTCTCCCCATTGTAATTTTTGATCATAATGATAATAACAGCGAATATTTATTGAGTACTTACTCTATGCCAGATTCTGCACTAATTGCTTTACTCCCATCAACCTTGATGAATTGTCACAAGAATTATTTTATTACAAATGAAAACATGGAGGTACCTAGCAGCAATAGGGCCTGTACAAGGGGTGGAGCAAGGATTGGGGCACAGTGCTGGTTCCCTTTGTTTCCCACCCACTGGGAGGCCCCTGAGGGAGGTGCTCTGTTTGGGCTGTTCACCTCTCTCCAGTGCCCAGGCTAGTGGGCTCTCATTTGTGAGATGTCTGGTTAGGATTTACCCAGCCAGCTTCCCTCCCCAGCCCGGCAGGGTCTGCTGCATCTTGGGACAGCTTGATTCCCAGCAGATTCTACCTAGGTGACCTTGAGCAAGTCATGCATCTGCGTGCACTTCAGGTTCTTTATTGTGATATGAGGTAGTGTAAATTCACTTCTGACTGTGGGACTGATCGTGGAACCAGTGCCTGGCATGTTGTTACTAAGGAGAATGCCGTGCTGGGTAGGGGCACAACTTTGGTGCTATAGTGTTTGAACCGAGCTTTGTCATCCTCACCTCTCTGTGTCTGTTTCTCCAGCTGCAAAATGAAGGGTAATGAAAGCATATGCCTATAGAGTTGCAGTACAAAGTCCTTGAGCAAACAAATAAGTGAGAAATGAACAAATAATAAGTCTCCTAGAGCATTTACTGTTTTAAAGACTTTAAAAATGTGAATTCTTTGTACCCTTGTACCTCAGAGATTGAAATTATCTTCACAGATGAGGAATTGAAGCACAACGTAATAGTAACATGCCCAGGGTTGCATTGCTGCTAATTTAGTGCTAGGATTCCAACTCAGTACTTTGTAAACCCGCAATACATGTTGGCTGCTATTATTAGTAATAATAACGATTTCCTTGGCACATACTGCTGCTCTTCTCTGGGCCCCTGTTTCCTCACGCAGAATTGTCATTTTAAATGTTCTGATGGCGTAGTAGGAGCTCAATGAATCAGGCCATTCTTATCCAAAAGTGGGCGCTCTGCCTAGGGCGCCCTCTGGTGGCTCCACGCAGCGCTGCTGCATCTTATTCCTGTGCTGAGGTGAGGGTGGGGGGGGCTCTTTATGTAGCAGTAGGGACCACTCAAACAAAGGCTGCTCATCTGCTGCGGGTGGGTAGGGAATTGCCTTCAGGACAGGAATTGTGAGGTCAGATCTGCTGCCCAGCAGTTTGGGAATTTGTAATAGGTATGTGTGTGTTGGGGAGGTTGGGTGGGAGGGCTATGGGTCTTATGAAAGTTTGTTACATTGGGTCATCTTAGGACGGGCTAGTTCACACTTGCTATGTGACCTTGGCCAGGTTGCTTAACATGTGTTGATTTGCTCTGTGCACTAGAAAGTTGATTGGGATGCTCTAAAAACCCCTGTACCTTATGGATAAATAGATCCCTATTGTGCCCACTGCACCCCTTCCCCCAAGCCACTATCAATTCCACCTCATCCTCATATCCAAAGACCTCTCCCTAGCTGTGCAACTTTGGACAAGTTCTTTAATGTTTTTGTGCCACACCTGTACAAGGGTGCTCATAACAGCACTGAGCGAATTAATGCATCTAAAGAACTTAGTATGGTGCCTGACACACCATAGCCACTTGAGCTGTTGTTATTGTTATCAGTATTGTCTCTGCATTTCCTGGGGATATCCTTCTAATCTTCCAGAAAGTATGAGACAGACATGAATATCTCAAGCTGCTGTGTGACCTTGGGCAAGCCACTTTACCTTTCTAGTTCTCACGCTGGAGAATTCCTTAGGACAAGATGAACCATGCTCTGATTGTGCATGGAAATCAGATGGGTTTTGGTTGCCTTCTTCCACCCCGCAGGTGACTGGAGAAGGCTGAGCTACCTGTCCCCCCAGCTGACAGAGTGAGACAGGACTTCTCATCTGGACCCTAAGAGAGGCAGGGAAGGCAGGGACACAGAGAGAAGAGAGCTGGCCCTCAGTACTCATACCCTAGCTGTGTGACCTTGGGCAAGTCATAGAGCCTCTCTGGGCTCAGATCCCCAAGTTGAAGGGTAGGGAGCAGAGCCACCCGACCTCTGGGACTGTGGGGATGGCTCCAGAGGCACTGGAATGGAGACATCATGCACAAGTCACCTGAGAGTGACCGGTTTCCCCTGCCAGAGTCTTGATCTTTTTGACATTGAAGGTCCAGCATTGATTAAAAGAAAATCCAAAGGAGGGTGGAAGAGGAATTTATGAGAATTAAGTTGCTGGACCCTCTGCAGACATTGTCTCATCCAACTCTCTGTCCCCTCTGGGTGAGGGTGAAGGGATCTCCAGCAAGGACTATTACTGCTATTACTAATGCTTCCAGCTCCCACTGAGCCTGCCTCGGGTGCCAGGACTGCACCAATCCTAGAGGCCCAAGGACTTGCCCAAGGTCACTAGAGGCAGCATTAGGCTTGAAATCCTCCAAAGCCTGTCCATTTCCAGAACACTGAAGTGAGCATGGAGACCTGCTGCCAGGAGTAAGGATTCTCAATGAGTGGTGGGGGTGGGGGGTGATGAGAGTCTTCAAATAACACTACCCAGTCAGTCTGTGTCTGATGGGGTGATGGGGTGGGGTAGTGGGAGTGGGGAGGAGCTGTTGTTCTAGAAACTGCCAGTACTTGTCAATTTTTGTAAATAATCAGAATGAATAAAAGTAAGGATGGGCATTTATTGAGCACTTACTATGTTCAAGGTACCGTGCTTAGTAGGTTATGCATACTAGCATATGTCTAAGCGAATAGGACAGTCATTTCCCCTTTTCCCTGAATTCTGCAGAAGCTGAGGTCCAGACAAGGTCTTGACCCCCCTCAAGTCACCAAGCAGGTTCATGTCAGACATAGATCAGCCTCCTGCCTCCCAGGCTAGAGCTCCTTTTCCCAGTGCCTCCCAGATTCCCAGGGTCCCAAACTTCCTCTAGAGAATTTCCAGACCTAATCCTACTTCCCCTGAGATGGGTAGAAAAAGAGGGATGGTGGGTCTGCTTCCCAGGTGGCCCAATTCAAGAGGAGGGCCCAGCCTTGCTCACTGTTGGGGGCTGGAGGGGCTGCCGCATGGTATATTTAGAGCTGCCTCTTGCTGTGCCAGGGC